TTTTTCTCAGTTTGTTTTCTTGAAGATTCATCCATGGGTAGAGTGTATGATAACCGTTTTTATTATTGTTATTACTGCATAGTATTCCATGGTGTGTGTGCCAGTGTTTGTTTAATCATTCATCCATTGAAGGACATGTGGGTTTCTTCCAGTTTGGAACTACTGCAAAAAAAGTTTGTGTAACTTTTGTGAACAGGTTCTTATGTGAATATAAGTTTCCATTGCCCTGGATAAATTCCCAAGTGTGCAATTCCTGGGTCAAAGTTTAGTTGTATGGTTAGTTGTGTAAGAAATTGTAGAACTCCCTTCCAGAGTGGGTCAACATTTTATAATCCCACTGGCAATGACTGTAATCCACTTTCTCTAAATCCTCTCCAGAATTTAGCGTACTCTTCTTAGTTTTAATCATTTGATAAGTCTACCATAATAGTACTTTTCATTTGTTTTCCTGATGACTGGTGATTTTGAATATCATTTTCTGTGCTTATGTTTCATTCATATTTCCTCTGCAAGGAAATATCTGTTCATATCTTTTGCCCACTTTCTAATTGGAGAATATGTTTTTTTTTTTCATTCCTTAGTTTTATGAGGTCTTATTTATTCTAGGTACTTTTTCTTTACTGAATAAATGTTTGTAAGTATTTTCTCCCAGCTTTCTCTCTTATCCGCCATTTGGGCTTTCACAAAGCAAAAGTTTTTAAGTTTTAAGAGGTCCAGTGTATCTGTCTTTCTTTTTATGGGCCATGTGTTTGATGTCAAGTCTAAAAACTCTTAACCAGTCCCTAAATACTAGTGTATATTCTTTTCTAAAAGTTCTATAGTTTTATATATTATATTGAAATTCGTGAGTCTTTTTGAGTTAATTTTTATACATTAGTGAGGTTTAGGTTGAGATTCATTTTTTTCACCTGTGGTAGTCCAATCATTTTTTTTTTTGTTGAAAAGCTCTCCTCCTTCCATTGAAGTGATTTTGTACCTTTGTAAAAAAAGCAGTTGAGCATATTTGTGTAGGTCTATTTCTGGGTTTCCTATTTTGTTCCATAAATCTCTGTATCTCTTCCTCTGCGAACCCCACACTCCATCATTGTGACTATATAATAAGCCTTGATATTAGCCACAGCAATTTGTCCAATTTTATTCTTCTTAGGTTTGTTTGAGCTATTCTAGTTTCTGTGCTTTCACCTCTAAATTTTAGAATTGGGTTGTCTGTATCTATAAGAGATTAAAAAATCTTTTCTGGGATTTTGATACGAATCACACTAAACCTATATATCAAATTAGAGAATTGGCAATTATATTAAGTTTAATGATCCCTGAGTATAACCTGTCTCTCCATTTATGTAGGCTCCTGTGATTTTGTTCTTTTCTTATCACCATCATATAAATTCAGCATGTAGCTCATTTGCATGTTTTGTTATGTGTATAACTATTCCATTTTCTGTGGAACTAGTTTAAGGGCTTTTCAATTTTTTAACTTTGATTTCTGCAGGTTTGTTGTTAGTATATTGATATTGTATCCTATGACCCACTTAACTCAGTACTAGAAGAATGTTTTTCATATTCCTTCTTACATTACATTTTGACAATCTTGTTTTATAAAATAAACATAGTTTTATTTTTTCTTCCCAAACTGTAGGCTTTTTGCCTTATGCAGTGATTATAACATCTAATACTGCAGTGGCTAAAAATGGTGAGAATGGACATCCCTGTCATATTTCTCATGTTAGCAGGAAAACATTTAGTCTTTTACCATTAAATATGATGAAATTCTGGTTCTTTAGAGATGCTTTTTACAAATTGGTTGTTTATTTTTTAAATTCTGGCTAATTAGTGGCTTCAGAATAATGGCAGAGTTTGTGAGAGTTGGGAATAAGGCAAAGAGAAAAAACTAAGAAATTTCTATCCAATTAAGAGATTGGATTTATTTTGATTTTTGAACAGAGCTTTTTCTAATACACGTTTTTGTCAAAATAGGATCACATCCGCTTCATTTTCATTAGGGTTGCACATAAATTCTGCCAGTAGTTTTGTTAGTGATTTGAAACTTTTTAATCTTTCACACTGTTTTTCTTTCACAGTCCCTAGTATTCCAACCAGAAGAGGAAAATAACTTGACCATAGCAGGTGTGCTCTTATGCATCTATGCTTTAGCTCTGTCTGAGAAAAAAAGTGCAGTTCTCTTATTCCATAAGGGAGTAAAGGAAGAGTATCTACAAAAGTAAGACCTCTCAAAATTCAACAGTGAAAAAATATCCAACTAAAAAAATGGCAAAAGATATGATCAGATATTTCACTAAAGAGGAAATGGATTTATGGATGGAACATAGGCACATGAAAAGCTATTTGCATAATCAGCCATCAGGGAAGTACACACTGAAACCATAATTAGTCATTACTGCACACCTGTCTTCATATCTGACCCTGCACTTACCTGGTCATCTTTTGCTGTTTGTTGTATCTTTTGCATCTCTCAGTTAAGTGTCCATTCTTCTGTGTACTTAACATAATTTCAGCAATTGCCATTTAAAATGAAGCTCTGAAGTTTTTCTCATAGCCACAGGTAATAATTGATACCTTGAAAGCTTAACATAGAGTAGCATGGAGTTTGTAGGCTCCCACTAAATATTTGGATAATGTGTAACTACTTTCTTTCCATCTTTGGTGCTCCTGAATGTTTCTTGGATTCTACCTTATAAGTACTTTCATATGTTCTAAAAAAAATGGGATAAATTCTAAGGTACTTAATTGAGATTGAACCATATACATCTTAATGGAAAATCCCAAAATGATATTTGGTATTTTTAAGATTCATTAAATGAGCTTGTTAAAAACTCAGATCCCAGGAGTCAAGCAGCAGAAATCCCAACTAATAAGTTGTAAGTGATGATCAGATTACTGCATTTTTAAATGAGAATCCCAAGTGATAATGATGTTGGTGGTCCATGGACCCCACTTTGAGAAATCTAAGACAAGAATTGAGGAAAGATGCTGATATATGGAAAAAGAATCACTATAATCACAGTAGTTTGCTGTTAACAACACACTGGTAAATATAGCAGGGCCACTAGAATTATTTTTTCTTTCCTATCCTAAATGTTTATTTTCTTTGAATTGGCCAAATCAGATATTTTCAAATCAGTGTCCCTTGCCTTAACTTATCAGTGCACATGTATGTGGACCAGTGGGTGGTCTGCACCAGGAAATATTTGTACTTAGGTAGAAGGTACTTTACCTTTTGGAGGAGACATACTGGTTTTTGTAGGACATTTTTTGGCATATTATAGCTAAAATCAGTGATGGAAAACTTTCATGGTGTGAAATTATATAGCAGAAGTAAACAAGGAATTGGGCAGGAAAACAGCAGTGATGATACACAAGTGAATTCCAAAAAAGTAATCTTTGGAAATTATTTTTCCATGAATAAGGTACACTTTTGATACGATGTCTTTTTCACTTAGCCATCCAGAAACATTTGGATGGTCCAGTTTTTCTGTTCCAGTTAGTGATATTTCAGAGCCTTAATGTTTTGAGAATGTTGCATTTTAGTTACAAATTTAAGATGATACAATGCTGTAGTAATATCATTTCTGTAAGCTGGCTCTGACTGAATTAAGTCCAAAAACACTATGCTTTCCAGGGCACACTTATTGTGAGTTTTCTGTATTACTTTACTCCATGGTTAATTAGCAATTTAATCCTATTTTTCAGTAACAATAAAATGAAGCACAGCATTATTTCCTTTTGATGTATTGATTTAAGATACTTGGAATATTCATGTGTCTACTGGTTATGGTTTTTATTAATTTGAAGGTGACCATTTTGATTTTTGCAGATTTCAAAGCAAAGTTGAAATTTTCCAAGTTTTTGAAGTTGAATGGTAAACCACATGCACTGCTTCACTTTATGTAGTCACCACTCAGACAATTTACGTCAACCCTTAAGAGCTATGAAGTGAGTTTAGTCTTTCACAAATTGACAATGCAATTTTTTTCTGATACAGAAAGTAACACCATTGGATATATTAACTATGTTATTCACAAGCATTTTGGTTTGGAATTTGGAATTTGGAGAAATAATAGTTCTTTCTTCCTTTTCCCCTAGGCTTAAGCTTTTTTTTTTTTTAATGAAAATAATAGAATTTTTCTCTCTGCTATAATTTAAGCTGGAATGTATGAATCAGTATTTGTTGTCCTAGACTGTTATTGGAAGAAATTAAATGCTTTCTAAAAATAAACACTGGTAATAAAAATAGTATTTAACCTTGATTACTATTTTAAAAAATTTTACTAAACACTTGAAAATTTTCCTTTGGGTGATTATAAAAATTTGTATTTTTATAGCTATAAATATATAATAAATAAAAGGGAATATATAAATGTAATTTACTGTTGCTGTTTGAATTCTACTTATGTGGTAATTTCTGGAGAGATATATCTACCAAAGAGTCCTTCAGGACATGAGACAAAAGAGACTTTTACCCAAAAAATGAATATTTTCAAGCCTTTCTGTAAATAACAATAATTACAGGTGGAACTTGGTTTACTTAAGCTGTTGATGCTCAAATATTTTAGGGGAGAATTCATGAATAGTTGGCCATTATCACAAGATGAAGCTAAAATTCTTTATGATGTAGTAAATCACTAGAGCAGATGTGGAAATCACATTTATGTGAACTCTTAGTTCAGGATATTTCACTTCCTTCTCTGAATCATATTGTCACTTTAATGCTTAATTTTGGAGAGTCCATGATGCCATTTTGACACTATAACAGCAACATGGGATCCATGGGTCTATACTTATATTTATATAGATGATGTTCTAGAAACTTAATATAGAAATCAAAATTCTGCTCTTCTTTGTGAAAACAAATAGTTTCTTCTTGAGACTCCCAGGAACAGATTTTAAAATCGTTTACAAGAAGGGAGCATCTTGGCATAAAAATTTTAATTTTCTTGCCTGAAATTCAGGAATTTTTTTGTGTTTTTTTTTTTTCAAATTAGATCTTGAAAATTTTAAAACCAAAATGAGAAGCACAGTGTCAGTGAGAGAAGGCCAGGGAGTCGTCCTGCTCTGTGGCCCCCCGCCACACTCTGGTGGTAAGTAATGCCCTGTGTTTCTTCCTCGTATTTATTGAGCAAGTTTCTGGGCAAGGCCTACAACATATATTCTGCTATTGCTCTGTAGATTACTCTGAGAAACTTCATAACCCCAAGATTCTCTCAGTTGAGTTGAAATAGGAAAAACTATGAAAGGTAGTCCACCCAGAGAAGTTTATAAACATAATTTGTGTGTTCTACTAAGGAGGATTTCAAAGGCAAGAGAGATCATATTCATTTTGATTACTTAACAGTATCAAACAATGTGTTAGACTTACACTATTATCATTTGTTCTTTAATTGTAGACAGTGAATTGGAGTCTCTCTCTCTCTCTCTCTCTCTCTCGTCTCTCTCCTTATTTCTCTCTCTCCCCCCCATTTCTCTCCCCTACTTCTTTCTCTCTGTTTTTCTTTCTCTCTTTTTCTCCCTTTCTTTCTCTCTCTCTCTCTCTCTCACACACACACACACAAGAATGTATTGAATTGTGCCACTGGATTGTTTATTTTTACATATTATGTGTATGAAAATGATAGGTGTGCATAGACACATCATTTTCTTTGAGCAGTTGGAATTGCAAATTTTATGCTACATTAGTATAAATTGGAGTACACTGGTCTAAAATACATTGGTATAAATTGAAATGTATTGCTAGAAATTTAGAAGCTTAGTAAAATAGCTACCTAGAGTGGAAATGAACTTTAGTGCATATGAAAATAATTTAATTAGCTTCTTAGTATGAGTTTGAAGGGCTCGTTTGATTTTCTTCTCGCACTCACTCTTATAAACATGGTCACTTGTGAGAACAAAGAGTGCATTATTAATATATAAATCATTCTCAGAGAAATAAATACAATGAGAGGATGAGAATTACTGAGTGATAAATAACATAGGGAGATTTTATCTGACCAGTGGTGAAGCTGAGATGTCTTCTCCCATCATAGTAAAGCTCATTCAAATGAAAACATTCTGTACTCCTTTATTCTGTGACATGTAAACCAAAGTCCTTTTATTCATACTCCCACATCTACTTTAATGGTGCACATTTTTCTGGAATCTTGACATTCTAGAGGCACACTTTAATTTTGAAGATAAACATAAAATCTCTTGACTGAAATAAAAGTAACTGAGGTCAAACTGTATCTAAGAAAATAGGGAATTTACTGGCTCAAGTGATTGGGATGATCCACTGGCTTCTGTATTATTTACAAAGAGATATGCTTCCCAAAAGGACTTGCTGCCTTACAGTGGGGCTTATGTTGAGCAGATGGCCTGTAGCTCTCAACTACATAGCGCCATTTGCCCATGGTCACATGCTTCAGCCCATATCTGGTGACCACACAAGTTGAGGATATAAAGGGATAGCCATTTCTGACCAATACTGTGCAGTTCTGATGAGTAGTATTCATTCCAGAGCTTCCTTCAAGGATAACCAAGTATTTTTTCAGCCACATCACATCACAATTCAGTTTCTTTCTCTTCCCAGTCTCCTACTTCCTTCCTTTCACAGGTTTTGATCAAGAGTTTTTAATCCCAAATTCACAGCCCAATTTAAACCCCTGGGTTCAACAAGTTCCATGGAAAAACAATTCCAATTGTTCCTTCTCCATATTGACTGCTTTCTCATGAGTTGACCTCTGACATTTCTAATCTTTTGTGATCCTTAATATTAAAGATTATTATGGACCAGACTGTTTCTCAGGGTCTAATTGGATCAGCCTTATTTATAAGATTTTCTGTGCAGCTGAAGGTTATAATCAGGTCCACCTACTCACAAGCTCTGAAATGAGAAGCCATTTCCAAAAGAAAGTAAGGATTTGCAATCAGAAAAACGGGGTGATATATTAGGTAGAAATAAATAATGGCTATAGAAAGTAACTAATTTATATTTATATTGGCTTAAATCAACAACAACAAAAGATAGCTGGGTAATCTTGTCTCTGAAGAATTTTGGAAATGTTGACCCAATTTAGGATTCTGACTGTGTGATCTTTCATTACTTTTATGACTAGATAAATTCATTGATAAAAAGGGATGAACCCTATTGGTTGACTAAGTGTGCACTGAGTAAGTATGTCTTGAAAAGCTGTTGGTAAAACATGTTCAAAAGTGGAATCTTTTCCCTCATAAGATTAAAATACTATTGGCCACTTGTACATATACTAAGTTATTACACTTTGATTTATCTCGGTCTTTGAATATATCTGCCCTTTGAATATAGTTCTCTCTTTACAGTTAAAGCTCATGGATGGAATGACTGTGGCAGTCTGGAAAGATTGTAGCTTAAGAAAGAAAGAAATCTTCCCAAAAGGACACATTAGTCCTTAAGAACCTATAGCATTCATGAAAAGGAATACCATTGGCCAAATGCATATCAGTGCTAGATTATAAGGAGAATTACCAAGAACACAGGGTCAGATTTGGATGGGAAAAACAAGACTCTCAGGGATCCATGTCTCCCTAATACTGAGTTCCAGACACTTCACATCCAAGTTCTTGACACATTGGTTTACGAGCTCCTTGAGCACCAGTCTATGTCAGCATTTGTTTTGTACTCAGGTGCCTAGCACAAAATTGTTTTATAACAGGCAGTCAGTAAATGCCTGTTCAACAAATGAACACATTCATGAAATGAACAAAAGAGTCATTTTCTAGATTTAGAAAGTTAAAATGCTTTTTGAAATTCCACTGGAAACCTTATTTCCCAATATATAAGTACTTAACAACCCAAATACCCTGGGTACTAGCCAGGCAGGTGTAAACTTTGACAGATCCCAGTGAACTGTCCCCAGCAGCTGGGATCAGCCCCACTTCATCCCCTTAGGATGACTTAGAGAACTTAATTTAGTAAAGGGTGTGAGCCAGATCTGACAGCACCTGAAGCTGTGACTCCAGAATCCATCAGTTCAAGCAGTGGACTATTTTTCAGAGTGCTCAAGGCCCTTGCTGGGGTCTGTTTGGTCATCTTCTCTCATAGTTCCTCAGTCCCTTCAGAGCCTACTCTTTCCCTCTCTGTCATCACCATTTTGTATTACCTGTATTCACTATAAGTTTCTTCATTTCTACTTGGTTCTTTCTCTGCAGTGGGAAATGTTTAAATATGCTATTTTCTGATTACTGGAAACACAATCATGCTTTATTCATCAGCCTAGCTGAGTGAGTACAGAAAGACAATAGCAATAATAATAATAATGATGATAAACCTGTTTATTGGTTAGATGCTAAGCAGAATGCTAGTCCTTTGTAACCTTTTGATTTAAAGTATATAGAGGAACAGAAGACTATCAGACTAAGTTAGAGTCTGGAGCTCCGTCCTGGAAATACCAAGAGAGAGCTCCCAGCCAGTGAATGTCTGAATGCCTTAAGCCCATACTTCTTTCTTGGAAGTGACTCTTGAGGCAGGAAGCCAGAAACTCAGACTCAGCACAAAGCTTTTGTTTAAGGCTATGTTGGGAGTTTGTGAAGTGTGCCTCAGAGAGGCAATAGTCTATAAAAGATCCCAAGGCTATAAAGAGGCAAAACTACAACCTTGATGCTCACTCCTGACCAGAGCTATTTCCAGGATTGAATGCTTTAAGCCAGGCCCCCGCAGCCATTCTCTAAATGATCAGACATGAAATCCTCAGTGGAAGTATCTCTGTTCTAAGTCAAGGGTTTCTGATCTTTTGAATTGGGAGGCAGCAGAGTTAATTTTTTTTTCTTAATTTAACATCAAACCCATAGATTACAAAAGCGCTTGGCATATCAGCAGTGCCTCAAGTCATATTAGCAGACATCTCCCCCAAGTTCAACCAAAGCCTGAGTTCAGACATGCTCCTAAGACTATAATTGCAAGTGAATCACCTTAGTGATTGGTAAAATTCATATTCTGATTTAGTAGGCTTAGGGTGGGGTCTTAGGGTCTGCATTTCTAATTGGTTCTCCTGGGAAGCAAACACCTGGACCACTCTGAGTAGCAAGACCCTAACCTGTCTATTCCATTTTACAGAATTCCTGATATTTTCCTATACTTCTCTCTGCCCTTTCAGCCTGCCTTCTTCCCTAGCTCTTTTCTCAGCCTTGACACTAGGAGGCTTTTGTAACATCAGGACTCAAATACTATGTATTTGAGGACATCATCCCCACTCTGCCATTCAAGCCTGAAGAGTCTTTCCCAAGATACTCTTCACCCTGATTTATTTCCTTGTTTGGTGGCTTTCCATGTCTCCAATTGATTTGTATATTTTTATTGCCTCATAAAAAAGCTTGTCTTTCTTTCCTTTCTAAGTCCTGGGACTGAAGGAACATGGGTTCCCTTTTAGTGATAGTCCCAGATTCACACACATAATAAGGAATCATAATTTTAATCCATGATTTCTCACCTCTCAGATGTGATACGAAAGCAAACTCAGTCTCTAACTGGGTTTGGTTGAGGTCTAAAAATTGACAGAAAACCTCACTGAAGACAAATTTTCTGATTTTGAAACTACGTTGTAGGATAGTAAGAGGTTTAGGTGGGATTCATCTTTTTTTTTTTTTTTTTTGGCAGTACTGAAACTTTAATTCAGGGCCTTGCACTTGGTAGGTAGGCACTCTATCACTTGAGCCAAATGCCCAGCCTTTTTTGCTTTGGTTATTTTTTTGAAATATGCTCAGACCAGCCCAGATTTTGAGCCTGCTATTTATGCTCCCCAAGTTGCCAGGATGACAGGCACACAGTACCATGTCTAGCTTTTACTGGCTGAGATGAATTCTCATAAAAAATTTTTGCCTGGGAAAATCCTCCTAATCTTAGCCTCCTGATTAGCTGATATTACAAATGTGAGCCACTGTGCCCTGCTTCGTGTTTACTTTGTACAAACCTATGGTTGTCTCATGGTTGAAATCTTTCTATGATCATTCCTCTGTTCTCTTAATCACAATGAGATGGAAATATCAAGACAAAGAAACATTGGCTAAGTGTACCATGTACCCTTTAATCATGTGGGTGTACCATGTTTCTCTAACATCTTTGTTGTACCCA